CCTACTTACAAAGCATGTAGAGGTCTGTAATTTTTATCATATGTACACTTCAACTGTGTGAGACGGAATCTAAAACAAAAATCCAGAAAATCACATTGTATGATTTTTAAGTAATTAATTTGCATGCTGGAAGACCCAGCCACGACCCATCTTCAATGCTCTTACTGAGGGAAGGAGGTTGTTGGCCAAGATCTTGCGATACATGGCCCCATCCATCCTCCCCTCAATACAGTGCAGTCGTCCTGTCCCCTTTGCAGAAAAGCATCCCCAAAGAATGATGTTTCCACCTCCATGCTTCACGGTTGGGATGGGGTTCTTGGGGTTGTACTCATACTTCTTCTTCCTCCAAACACGGCGAGTGGAGTTTAGACCAAAAAGCTATATTTTTGTCTCATCAGACCACATGACCTTCTCCCATTCCTCCTCTGGATCATCCAGATGGTCATTGGCAAACTTCAGACGGGCCTGGACATGCGCTGGCTTGAGCAGGGGGACCTTGCGTGCGCTGCAGGATTTTAATCCATGACGGCGTAGTGTGTCACTAATGGTTTTCTTTGAAACTGTGGTCCCAGCTCTCTTCAGGTCATTGACCAGGTCCTGCCATGTAGTTCTGGGCTGATCCCTCACCTTCCTCATGATCATTGATGCCCCACGAGGTGAGATCTTGCATGGAGCCCCAGACCGAAGGTGAATGACCGTCATCTTGAACTTCTTCCATTTTCTAATAATTGCGCCAACAGTTGTTGCCTTCTCACCAAGCTGCTTGCCTATTGTCCTGTAGCCCATCCCAGCCTTGTGCAGGTCTACAATTTTATCCCTGATGTCCTTACACAGCTCTCTGGTCTTGGCCATTATGGAGAGGTTGGAGTCTGTTTGATTGAGTGTGTGGACAGGTGTCTTTTATACAGGTAACGAGTTCAAACAGGTGCAGTTAATACAGGTAATGAGTGGAGAACAGGAGGGCTTCTTAAATAAAAGCTAACAGGTCTGTGAGAGCCAGAATTCTTACTGGTTGGTAGGTGATCAAATACTTATGTCATGCAATAAAATGCTAATTATTTACTTAAAAATCATACAATGTGATTTTCTGGATTTTTGTTTTAGATTCCGTCTCTCACAGTTGAATTGTACCTATGATAAAAATGACAGACCTCTACATGCTTTGTAAGTAGGAAAACCAGCAAAATCGGCAGTGTATCAAATACTTGTTCTCCCCACTGTAGATGTTGTTACTAGGTATTTACATAATAAGTACATTGTACTTTTTATAAGGTCCTCAATACTAACCATTGGAACTAAAGGGGACTACTACAGTGCATTCGGAAAGTATTCAGACCCCTTGACTTTTCCACATTTTTTTACATTACAGCCTTATTCTAAAATGGATTAAGTCGTTTTTTTTCCTCATCAACCTTTGGCAGCGATTACAGCCTCTAGTCTTTTTGGATATGACGCTACAAGCTTGGCACACCATTCTTCTCTGCAGATACTCTCAAGCTCTGTCAGGTTGGATGGAGAGTGTCGCTGCACAGATATTTTCAGGTCTCTCCAGAGATGTTCGACCGTGTTCAAGTCCGGGCTCTGGCTGGGCCACTCAAGGACATTCAGAGACTTGTCCCAAAGCCACTCCGGCATTGTCTTGGCTGTGTGCTTAGGGTTGTTGTCCTGTTGGAAGGTGAAGTTTCGCCCCACTCTGAGGTCCTGAGCTCTCTGGAGCAAGTTTTCATCAAGGATCTTTCTGTACTTTGCTCCGTTAATCCTTCCCTCGATCCTGACTAGTCTCCCAGTCCCTGCCGCTGAAAAACATCCCCACAGTATGAAGTTGCCACCACCATGCTTTGCTGTAGGGATGGTGCCAGGTTTCCTCCAGACGTCACGTGACACTTGACATTCAGGCCAAAGAGTTCAATTTTGGTTTCACCAGACCAGAGAATCTTGTTTCTCATGGTCTGAGAGTCCTTTAGGTGCCGTTTGGAAAACTCCAAGTGGGTTGTCATGTGCCTTTTACTGAGGAGTGGCTTCCGTCTTGCCACTCTGCCATAAAGGCCTGATTGGTGGAGTGCTGCAGAGATGGTTGTCTTTCTGGAAGGTTCTCCCATCTTCACAGAGGAACTCTAGAGCTCTGTCAGAGTGACCATCGGGTTCTTGGTCACCTCCCTGACCAAGGCCCTTCTCCCCCGATTGCTCAGTTTGGCCGGGCGTCCAGCTCTAGGAGAATGATGGTGGAGGCCACTGTGTTCTTGGGGATCTTCAATGCTGAATAAATGTTTTGGTACCCTTCCCCAGATCTGTGCCTCGACACAATCCTGTCTCGGAGCTCTACGGACAAGTCCTTTGACCTAAAGGCTTGATTTTTGCTCTGACATGCACTGTCAACTCTGGGACCTAATATAGACAGGTGTGTGCCTTTCCAAATTATGTCCAATCAATTGAATTTACCACAGGTGGACTCCAATCAAGTTGTGGAAACATCTCAAGGATGATCAATGGAAACAGGATGCACCTGAGCTCAATTTCGAGTCTCATAGCAAAGGGTCTGAATATTTATGTAAATAACTTTTTTTTTACAAAAAATGTATATGTTTGCAAAAATGTATCAAACCTGTTTTCGCTTTGTCATTATGGGGTATTGTGTGTAGATTGATGAGGAAAAACATTTATTTAATCAATTTTAGAGTAATGTAACAAAATGTCGAAAGAGTCAAGGGGTCTGAAAACTTTCCGAATGCACTGTAAATAATTAGATTTTGTTACTTTGTATTTATTAAGTAAGTATGTAGTACCTAGTAAGTACGTTTGGGACAAAATAGTAGGTATTTACCTAGTTATTGCCTAGTACTTACCTGGATGTAAAATTAGTTTGGCACCCCTGGTTTATAGTAAAGACGATGCATGTCTTGTGCTAGCCTGGGTGCCAGTCTGTTTCTGCTTTCTTGCCAACTCCTTATAGAACTGTCATGGCATGTCAAGGAGTTGACATGATAGCACAAACAGATCTGTGACCAGGCTAGTCTTGTGGTATACCCTCCATGTTTGTGTGTCTGTCAGTGAAGCAGTCATTGCCATGGTGATACCGTTACCATGAAGATCTCTAAGCTAAAGGCTCAGTCTCTTGTCAATGGGGATAATTAAGGCAATCCCGGACCAAATCAAAATTGGAGACATTATTAATTCAAATATAATCTTCCTCATTTTCACACTATTTAGCTGAGATAAGTTGAAATCTCTCCTTTATCCATAAATCAAATATTAATTCATCTTAATTCAGCTTAAATCTTACTGTTTAGATAGTTGAATGAGATATGGAAGTAATAGGGAAATATCTGAATACATTTTGGAATAAATGTCAGAATATCCTAAGCAAGCAGACAGACATAAAACACCAAGGCCTTTTCTCAGTTCTCAACTCTTTCTCAGTTCTCAACTCTCAGTACATTTCATGCCATGGTACTTCATCCATCTCTCCAAGGCCATAACCTGTGTGAATAATATTACATGATCAAACTCTCTCTAAATGTACAGTAGCAGTCATAAATGTTGACATACCTACTCATTCAAGGGTTTTTCTTGACTTTTACTATTTTCTACATTGTAGAATAATGGTGAAGACATCAAAACTATGAAATAACACATATGGAATCATGCAGTAACCAAAAAAATTTTAAACAACTGAAAATATATTTTATATTTGAGTTTCTTCAAAGTAGCCACCCTTTGCCATCATGACATCTTTGCACACTCTTGGCATTCTCTCAACCAGCTTCACCTGGAATGCTTTTCCAACAGTCTTGAAAGAGTTCCCACATTGTCCTGTTGAAAAACAAATGATAGTCCCACTAAGTGCAAACCAGATGGGATGGCGAATCGCTGCAGAATGCTGTCGAAGCCATATTGGTTAAGTGTGCCTTGAATTGTAAATAAATCACTGACAGTATCACAGGCAAAGCACCATCACACCTCCTCCTCCATGCTCCACGGTGGGAACCACACATGCAGAGATCATCCATTCACCTACTCTGCATCTCACAAAGACACGGCGGTTGGAACCAAAAATCTCAAATTTGGACTCAGCAGACCAAAGTACACATTTCCACCGGTCTAATGTCCATAGCTCGTGTTTCTTGGCCAAAGCAAGTCTCTTCTTATTATTGGTGTCCTTTAGTAGTGGTTTCTTTGCAGCAATTCGACCATGAAGGCCTGATTCATGTGGTCTCCTCTGAACAGTTGATGTTGAGATGTGTCTGTTACTTGAACTCTGTGAAGCATTTATTTAGGCTGTAATCTGAGGTGCAGTTAACTCTAATGAACTTATCCTCTGCAGCAGAGGTAACTCTGGGTCTTCCTATCCTGTGGCGGTCGTCATGAAAGCCAGTTTCATCATAGCGCTTGATGGTTTTTGCGACTGCAGTTGAAGAAACTTTCAAAGTTCTTGAAATGTTCTGTATTGACTGACGTTCATGTCTTAAGTAATGATGGACTATCATTTCTCTTTGCTTATTTGAGCTGTTCTTGCCATAATATGGACTTGGTCTTTTACCAAATAATCTTCTGTATACCCCCCCCCCCCCCCACACCCCCACCTTGTCACAACACAACTGATTGGCTCAAACGCATTAAGCATTCCGCAAATTAACTTTTAACAAGGCACACCTGTTAATTGAAATCCATTCCAGGTGACTACTTCATGAAGCTGGTTGAGAGAATGCCAAGAGAGTGCAAAGCTGTCATCAAGGCAAAGGGTGGCTTCTTTGAAGAATCTCAAATATAAAATATATTTTGATTTGTTTAACACTTTTTTGGTTACTACATGATTCCATATGTGTTATTTCATAGTTTTGATGTCTTCACTATTATTCTACAATGTAGAAAATAGTGCCAGTCAAACCTTTGACTGGCACTGTATGTCTGTCTCCCTTAATGGGCCAAGGCTGAACATCACATCCAAAAACCCATTCATCTATGTCTCTGGTCTCATCTTGTGTGGCCTGAGGCAGGATGACATGCCAATCCGAAGGAGTCGCCAGAAGACCACTCGTAAGCGGGAGGAGGAGGTGGACATTGACCTGGATGACCCTGAGATCAACCACTTCCCCTTCCCCTTCCACGAGCTGATGGTGTGGGCCGTGCTGATGAAGAGACAGAAGATGGCGCTGTTCTTCTGGCAGCACGGGGAGGAGGCCATGGCCAAAGCCCTGGTGGCCTGTAAGCTGTGTAAGGCCATGTTCCACGAGGCCTCCGAGAATGACATGGTGGACGACATCTCACAGGAGCTGAACCACAACTCCAGGTACTATAGACCACAAGACATATACACATAGAGTTGAAAACAAACACACACATGTAGTCAGCCAAGCAATCACACATAATCATTTGTAGAGTTTGCCACACATACACACATCTACATACCCACAACTGAACATACCCACATGCACACACACACACACACACACACGTACACACACACGTACACACACACACACACAGAGAGACAGTCATCCATACACCCATACTAATAAGCATTCGGAGAGAGATGCTAACATAGCGTTCAGGCTATTTTCTAGGCTGTGCATCTTATATCAGGCAAAGTTTTCTTCTAAATGATTAAAGTTGAGCTGGGAGTCTGCACTAGAGCAGCATCCACACTCCTCCTCACATCGTGACCTGCTTTAGATAACACACAGATCTCAAAGGACCGCTATACATAAATGCAGCTAATAATACCTACACACATACTCTATCTAATGACACACATGTAGTTTAGCTAATGGTATGTGTGTGGGATGAAAGTGTGTGTGTGTTCTTGCTCAATTAAAAAGACTGTTATGAAAATGTTGGAAGTTGGTTATAGGAAAGAACTCCCAGGTGCCACACACACACAAACACACACAAACACTGCCAAGTGCAAAACCATTTGGTGTGTATTTTCCGCAGAGAGTTTGACCAGCTTGCTGTTGAAGTCTTATCTTAATCCTTTGACTAGTGTTGTGTACATGCATTTATCTGTATGATACAACAGGTTACCTGTCACGCCCTGACTCAGGGGACTCTTATATGTTGAGTCAGGGTGTGAATATTCTATGTTGTGTTTTCTATGTTTCAGTCTAGGTGTTGTATATCTATGTTTGGCCGGGTGTGATTCCCAATCAGAGACAGCTGTCGCTCGTTGTCTCTGATTGGGGATCATACTTAGGCAGCCTGTTGGCATGCATTAGTTGTGGGATCTTGTTCCGTGTGGAGGCTTGTTTAGTGTTCAGCCTTAGGACTTCACGTTTCGTTGTTTTGTCGTGTGTTTATCACTTTAATAAACATGTACGCCTTTCACGCTGCGCCTTGGTCTGACCCGTCCTTAAACGAACGTGACAGAAGATCCCACCAAACACGGACCAAGCAGCGTGCCCAGGAGGACCGTACACCCTGGACACAGGTGGGGAAGATGTGGTCGTGGGAGGAGATATTTGCGGGAAAAGGACCCTGGGCGAAGAAGGAAGCCCAGGCAGGAGAGGAGCAACGGCAACACAGAAGCCGGCCGAGGAGGAAGCCCGAGAAGCAGCCCCAATAAACATTTTTGGGGGGGCTAAAGGGGTGGTCGAGGAGCGAGAGAGAAGAGCCCCGACCACTGGATCCGGTGGGTTTCCAGATTGCGTCCCTACGACCATGGGAAGAAGAGTGGGAACAGTATTATACTGAAGAGTCGGAGGATGACGACGATGAGTTTCTGTTCCCTAACTCGTGGGGGCTCCCGGAGGAGTCCTCACTGGAGGAGGAGTGCCGAGAGAGAGAGAGAAGGATCGGATCTGCAGGGTAAGAGAGAAGGCCACCATATTACGGGGGCTGATAGATAGAATAGAGCGGGAGAGATCCATTCAAGAGGAGGCACTGCAGGAGGCTTGTAGGGAAAAGGAGGAAGTAGAGGCACGGAGAGAGGAGCTGGTTAGGCAGCATAAGGAGCGGGGGTTAATAAAGGAACCCAGGTATGCAGAGATACGCACTGTGTCACCAGTGCACCTTCCCAGTCCGGCCCGTTCCTGGTCCTCGCACCAGGCCTGGGGTGCGTGCTCCCAGTCCGGCCCGGCCCGTTCCTGTTCCTCGCACCAAGCCAGTGGTGCGTGTCGCCAGGCCGGCCCGGCCCGTTCCTGCTCCTCGCACCAGGCCAGTGGTGCGTGTTCCCAGTCCGGCCTGGCCCGTTCCTGTTCCTCGCACCAAGCCAGTGGTGCGTGATCCCAGTCCGGCCCGGCCTGTTCCTGCTCCCCGCATCAAGCCAGTGGTGCGTGTTCCCAGTCCGGCTCGGCCTGTTCCTGCTCCTCGCACAAGGGCAGTGGTGCGTGTTCCCAGTCCGGCCCGGCCCGTTCCTGCTCCTCGCACCAGGCCTGTGGTGCGTGTTCCCAGTCCGGCCCGGCCCGTTCCTGGTCCTCGCACCAGGCCTGTGGTGCGTGCTCCCAGTCCGGCCCGGCCCGGCCCGTTCCTGTTCCTCGCACCAAGCCAGTGGTGCGTGTCGCCAGGCCGGCCCGGCCCGTTCCTGCTCCTCGCACCAAGCCAGTGGTGCGTGATCCCAGTCCGGCCCGGCCTGTTCCTGCTCCTCGCACCAAGCCAGTGGTGCGTGTTCCCAGTCCGGCCCGGCCTGTTCCTGCTCCTCGCACCAGGCCTGTGGTGCGTGTTCCCAGTCCGGCCCGACCCGTTCCTGCTCCTCGCACCAGGCCTGTGGTGCATGTTCCCAGTCCGGCCCGGCCCGTTCCTGCTCCTCGCACCAAGCCAGTGGTGCGTGTTCCCAGTCCGGCCCGGCCCGTTCATGCTCCTCGCACCAAGCCAGTGGTGCGTGTTCCCAGTCCGGCCCGTTCCTGCTCCTCGCACCAAGCCAGTGGTGCGTGTTCCCATTCCGGCCCGGCCCGTTCCTGCTCCTTGCACCAAGCCAGTGGTGCGTGTCGCCAGTCCGGCCCGGCCCGGCCCGTTCCTGCTCTTCACACCAAGCCAGTGGTGCGTGTTCCCAGTCCGGCCCGGCCTGTTCCTGCTCCTTGCACCAAGCCAGTGGTGCGTGTCGCCAGTCCGGCCCGGCCCGTTCCTGCTCCTCGCACTGAGCCTGTGGTGCGTGTGTCCAGTCCGGCAGGGCCCGTGCCCGTTCTACCGGTGCCTGATCCAGCTCCGGTCAGCTGCTCCACTCCGGAGCCAGAGTAGTCCGCTCCACCGGGGTCCAGTCCAGCTCCGGTCAGCGGCTCCACTCCGGAGCCAAAGCAGTCCGCTCCACCGGTGCCCAGTCCAGCTCTGGTCAGCGGCTCCACTCCGGAGCCAGAGCAGTCCGCTCCACCGGTGCCAAGTCCAGCTCCGGTCAGCGGCTCCAGTCCAGAGCCTGAGCAGTCCGCTCCACCAGCATCCGGTCCAGCACCGGTCAGCGGTTCCAGTCCAGACCCTCTCCAGGTTCGGGGTCTCCCACACCAGGGTCCAGACAGGGCTTGGAGTATCGTGGGAGGAAGGAGAGGGGAAGCAGCGCGCCGAGGTCCAGACCAGACCAGGGGCGCAACAGGGAGGCGGAATGCCCACCCGGTCCCTACCCTGTTATGTAAAGGTTGTGCAGTCGGATTCCGCACCTTTGGGGGGGGGGGGTACTGTCACGCCCTGACTCAGGGGACTCTTGTGTGTTGAGTCAGGGTGTGAATATTGTTGTGTTTTCTATGTTGCAGTCTAGTTGTTGTATATCTATGTTTGGCCGGGTGTGATTCCCAATCAGAGACAGCTGTCGCTCGTTGTCTCTGATTGGGGATCATACTTAGGCAGCCTGTTGGCATGCATTAGTTGTGGGATCTTGTTCCGTGTGGAGGCTTGTTTAGTGTTCAGCCTTAGGACTTCACGTTTCGTTGGTTTGTCGTGTGTTTATCACTTTAATAAACATGTACGCATTTCACGCTGCGCCTTGGTCTGACCCGTCCTTAAACGAACGTGACATTACCAACATATTCAAATCATAACATGTCTATCATTTTACATGTTTGCCACTAGAAATGTGTTCATTTGCTGGTAGAAATGTGTTCAACATCCACTGAAGTAGCTAGCAAGGTTACTAGATAGCTACAGTAGTTGCCGTGGTGTCCAAACAAACATACTTGCTAGTTTAGCTAACCAAACCATCAGTCCTAGCTTGCTATTTAAAAAAAACAGAATTCAACAATAACAATACTGTTTTCAATTCGACTTTTGCCTTCAAAAGCAGCTCAAACAAAACTTTTAAAAATGTACTATAGCCATTGAATTATACCGTGCAAATACACTGTGCGTTATAGGGAAATAAAGCACGCTCTAGAATGCCCTTCAAGACAATCAGAAAGGAGTATTCAACAATGCCATGGTATAACACTTAATTATGTTTATATGTCAAACTGCAATGTAGCGTAGTTCATCTTAAACATTCACTGTGTGACATCCTATGTGTGTGTGTTTCAGAGAGTTTGGCCAGCTGGCTGTGGAGCTGCTGGACCAGTCTTACAAGCAGGACGAGCAGATGGCCATGAAGTTGCTGACCTATGAGCTGAAGAACTGGAGTAATGCCACCTGCCTGCAGCTGGCCGTGGCCGCCAAGCACCGTGACTTCATCGCCCACACCTGCAGCCAGATGCTGCTCACTGACATGTGGATGGGACGCCTGCGCATGCGCAAGAACAGTGGGCTGAAGGTCAGAAGCGCCAGGGGTCACACGGTGCATTGTCTAAATGGGGTTTCAGAGGTTGACTATCTGACTGACTGACTGACTGACAGACATACTTATGGTAGTAGATTTTATTGTAGACTACTGTAGATTTTAATTGAAGGTGAGGTATTATCATACCCAGTTGGCAAAACGGGTTGCAATTACCCTATTTGGCCCGCTGGGTATAATGGCTAATGATATCCCATATTTGAGCTGTCGCTTGATTATTCCTAACACTGTTCATGTTGATTTACGACAACGCACCTACAGTTACACTGTAAAGGCTTGTGCTATTATTCAGCCCAGGCAAGTAGGTTAGCCAATGAGTTGGCTGAGGTTTGATAGCATACAGCTTCTTAGGTCATGAAAGGGCACAGTCATTTATTATTTTGAGTAGCTGTGCATGGGGACCCTTGGGTGGTTGTGTGTAAGGAGGATCAAGTATGAATCCAGGTACAGTATAGAGCTGGTTGGGAAACAGACACACTCATGACCCATAAAGCCCCACCACACACACCTTCCAGTCTGGGTTGTATTCACTAGGCACCAGATGGAAGTAAACAGACTGAAACAGGAAGGCACTACCTGAACTTGTCCAATGAGAAACGCTTGTTTTCGTATTTTGTTGCAAAACGTTTTGCTATGGTGTGCACTAATGAATATGACTCTGGCCTGCTGCCACAGACCTGAAGCAGATATCTCCCTCTAAAGTTTAACGACATTTCCCTTTACATTCCACTCCCTCATACCCCTCTCTTCTCTCTTTTGTCTGACTTTAATGTAGTGGAGGTGTTAACAGCATGATTATGTCCTTTATCCCCTGGCTGTGTGGTCCTCTCATCTGTCTCTGCTACTCTAACCATCTCTAGCTGTCTGGACTAATGCCTTTTTAATTGAATCTCAGATAAGCTCCCTCGTCTCCACTGCATCAAATACACAAACTATCTCACTGCACGTCAGCCATAGCATTATGCAATTTCACAGTGACGAGATCCGAAACAATATGGACTTATGGGATAAGAATGGTGGTGTCTGTCTGTGTGTGTGTGTGTGTGTGTGCATTCTTCTGTGTGTGTGCGCACCTGTGTCTTTATACAGACCCACTGGTTCAACAAGACAGTTGAGCAACTTTTAATATTAAAGTTGCAAGATGTGCAGAATGTACCGTAGTACATTGGGGTTTTATTACATCTGCTTCGGGAACAATGGAAAGGAACAAGTTTGACACTTGATCGGAGAAAACACTGACATGCAGTGGACCCACGCATTATGACCATAACTCTCCCAAAATCGTGCCATGTGACAACTTTTTAAGAAGCGTCTCTGTTTGTGTGTTTTGCCCCTCCATGTGTCTAACTCCACATCCCTGCCCAGGTGATCTTGGGCCTGCTGCTGCCTCCGTCCATCCTGAGTCTGGAGTTTAAGAACAAGGATGAGATGTCGTACATGCCCCAGGACCAGGACACCTACTTGCAGGAGAAGGAGGAGGAAGAGCCCGAGCCCGCCAAGGAAAAGGAGGAAGAGGACATGGAGTTCACAGTAAGATCCTACTGTGAGACGCAGTACAACTCCGTGGTGAGAGCACCCACCTCAGCCCTGCCTTCAGACTATACACACACAGGCTGCATCTGAAATGGCAGCCTATTAGTATTCCTTACTATATAGGGAATATGGGGCCATTTTGAACGCATCCTTAGCCAGCCCCTGCCCCTCAACTAAACTAAATTCAAAGCACAGTTGCCCCTGCCCAGCTTTTCATGGTCAGATATCTTTTCACCCCCCCAAATGGTATAGGTTGGGGTTGGATCCAAGATCTGTGGTAAGGGGCGACTTCTATTTCCAGCTTAAAGTACACACACTTTAGCTTCTCTATATGGCCTGCTCTCTCCTCTCTCTCTCTCTCTCTCTCTCTCTCCTCTCTCTCTCTCTCTCTCCTCCCCTCTCTCGCGTCTCTCTCTCTCTCTCTCTCTCTCTCTCTCTCTCTCCTCTCTCTCTCTCTCTCCGCTCTCTCTCTCTCTCTCTTTCTCTTTCTCTCTCTGCAGAGTACAATCAAATAGGCCCACAGTTAACAAACACACTCCATTATTATTGTCCCTACACACTTATCCAAGCCTAGTCCCTACCCTATTATGGCCAACCAGAGGGGCAGTAAGAACAGCCCCACACCCAAACCTACCTGTCATCCCGCTTCTCGTTTCCTGTTCCTGTGGTCTCGGCGAAGACGTGGTTGTGGAGTTGTAACGTCTCAGTCTGTTTGCCGCTCTCGGCTCCGTGTGTATGTCTCTCTCTCTCTGTGTCCCTCTCCCTTTCCACCTCTCTTGCTTTCTCTCTCCCTCTCTACCTCTTTCTTTCACTCTCTGTCTTTTTCCCTCTCTCTCTCTTTCCCCCTATCTCTCTCCCTCTGTCCCATTTCTAGCTAAGGTCTTACTAGAGGTACAGTACTGTATGCGACTGCTGCCCCTCACTCTCCCCAGAGGCGCTGGCAACAGCGCATCAACTCGCATGCTGCTAAGAGGGGGTGTCTCTCATCTGATTTACGGCAGCAGCTTAAGCTGCTCAGGTTACTAACTGTGCCTTCCTGGTCTACGCAGATGCACAGTCTATGGGTGCATCCGAAATGGCACCCTATCCCCTGAATAGTGCACTGCTTTTGACCAGGGCCCGGTTTCCCAAAAGCATCTTAAGTATAAGTTCATTGTTCTTCGTAGGAGCATTTATTTTGCTACTTGTATGATACTGTCTGTAATTTGTCTCAATATATTTCATGATGTGTAGCCTAACATGTGCACAATGATGTGCCAAATCTTGATTTAGTGCATTATTATAGGGTAAGCAATAAGCCGCCTAATATTTGCAGCCATAGGTGATAATATCTTTCTAGGAGCTGATCCGTCGTCAGTTTTGTGGAATAATTATAATGTTAAGGTAAAATTTGAATGGAGAAAGCTGATCCAAGAGCAGCGTAGCCTTTCTTTCGGTCCTATCAGTTTTGACACATGCCTCAATGATGCACTTAGCAAACATTCTATCTGCGTGGTGTTTTGGGCCATTGTAGGAAAAATGCATCGTTAAAACACTCGCAAGCCTAAATTCCATTGCTATCGGGAAACCATGCCCAGGGCCCAAAGTAATACACTATATAGGGGAGAGGGTTCCACCAGACATAGTCTGACTGTCTGAACACCCTCTCTTATTACAGAACAGGCGATTGTGACTCGGTCCATCTACATAGACATTGCGGTACATATTGTCATCTGCATTTAGTCAGCCAGCCGGCGCAAAAGCTCACTGGGAACAGGAGTTTATGAGAATGCTGATGAGAGAGTTCTTAGGCACCCAAAAAAAACTCTGTCAAAGGATTACATCTGTCATGAGCTCTTCCGCTTGCCATTGTGAGCTGCTGATTTCTGACTGTTCAAATGCAGCCCAGAAACCGAAATATGAATCAGACAGATTCATACAAATACATGCTACGCTACATACACCGGTATTGTATTGCAAGTCATCCTCAGATGCCTTCAAAAACACACTGTAATCCCTGACACAGTCCAGATGCAGTTTAAATATGCATGTTGGCATGGCATTGTGATTTTCACATGCATCTGACTCTTTCATCACAGGTTGTATCTCCCTTTTCCCCAGACATGCAATACAATAAAATACAATTTGCTGACTCCCCAGCGGTGTCTTGTCGTTTGGGCATCCATGATCATAACCTCAGGGATTTTACACACCCTCTCATGGATGACAAACTATGTTCGAGTCCTAGAAATGGACGTCAGACATCTTTTTTTCTCCTCGCTGTCCTCCCTCTTCTTTGCTCTCCCTCTCGCTCTCTCTCTCTCCACTGTCTGTCACTGTCGTCTGAGACTCGATCCATAAGTGTTTGTCTCCATCATATGTGTCATCATCCCCACCAGCACTCAATGTCCCTAACATGCAACATTCAGAATGAGTTTGCCTGTGCTTGCTTATGCTCATGCAACTAAAGTATAGGAATAGCTCTAATGCGCTTTCATTTTTTCTTCCCTCTCGCCTGTATCTTTGTATCTCTCTCCATCTCTTTCTCTCTGTCTCTCTGGGTGGGATGCCCCAGGCCATGCTGGGTAAGGTAAGCACGGAGGCATCTCGTAAGAAGGGTGTGGGGGAGGTCCAGAATAGACACCGGCTCATCCCCATGGGCCGGAAAATCTACGAGTTCTACAACGCCCCCATCGTCAAGTTCTGGTTTCACACAGTGAGTCTGCTGTCAGGGCGTGTTGCTACCTAGAACCTTAAAGGGTTTTCTGAATTAAAAAGATTTCACAGAACCCTACCCCTTCACAATTAACCCCTTTGAGAACCCAGTGGATAGATGCAGTGTGTGACCCAGTGCTTGCTTCTGTGTCTGCGTGCATTGTATCTACAAGCGGGGTATTTTTATTTGGCAATATCGATGTCTTCATCTTTCATGCTGCATGGTGGCTCTTTCAATCTGCCGGTCCAGTGAAAATATCACAAGCACTCCCTAGCAGGGGGGGTTAACTCTTATTTGTGGAGATAAAAAAGAATTGCCCCAACAACAAAAAAGGAACACTTAAAGGACAAACTATCAAACTATCACTTAGGAGACACAAGATTGCAAATCTTCTGCCTATCCCGCGGTGCAACCTAACTTTTCAATGCTAAAACAATTTGAATGCCTTCTAAAACTACTTCAAGGGGCAATCAGCAGTTGCTACATCAATTTTAGAACTTAGCAATTAATGATACCGTATATACCCATTGATTCTTAAAGAATATAACTTATGAATGTTTAGTTCAACTGTCATACCATATCAGAACCCAAAATATATGCTTGTTTTACTCCAATGTTTGTAAACATTGTAAATGTAAACAAACACTGTATAGCCTCAAAACATGCTTAACTATAATTTTGATATCTTGCATGATCAGTCCTTGCTTCCATTGCTCTGTCTATGAATGTGACAGTGGTAACATTTCTCCAGTTCCATCCCTCAGCTTTTTGACAAAAGAGGTGGGGAATCCGCTTTGTTATTATTTCAACTGCAGATTGCCCCTTTAAGACCCACTTACGACACCTTATGTCATCTGTAAGACCCTTGGCATGCCCCCTGAAGACCCCCCACATGATCTGGGAGGCCCTGACACTGTGTGTTTGTCCCCAGATGGCCTATGTGGCATATCTGATGCTGTTTAACTATATTGTGCTGGTGAAGATGGACCTGTGGCCCTCACCGCAGGAGTGGATTGTCGTCGCTTACATCTTCACCAATGGCATCGAGAAGATGAGAGAGGTAAGGCAGGGCACACACATAGAGAGAGATACTAAACTCATGGAGTTCTCAATACAGTCAAACATACGCACATTTTGTCTATAACACGATAAATGCTGGGGGGGGAGGGGGGGGTTGCCCATTTTGAAGTGTGTCATTCTTGTCAATTAACCACAGATTTTCCAATGGTCAAGATCAAATAAAATACATGAGCAAAAAACTGTGTATATAAGCATTCATTACTGTGTCCAAACCTTTACCCATTTATGTAGAAACGTCTTCAGCATACGCTGTGACTTTTTATAAATGGACTCACACTGCCCTCTTATGGTGAGCACACTGAAGTGCGTCTCTCTCGCTTTCCCTCGCTCTCCTGCTCTCTCTCCCTCCATCCCTCCCTCCTTGTCTACCTCCCCAGATTCTGATGTCGGAGCCAGGGAAGCTGTTGCAGAAGGTGAAGGTGTGGCTCCAGGAGTACTGGAACATCACAGACCTCATGGCCATCCTCATTTTCTCTGTGGGCATGGTTCTCCGTCTCCAGGAGCCGCCACTCATGAGCTACGGACGGGTCATCTACTGCGTCAACATAATCTATTGGTACATCCGGCTGCTCGACATCTTTGGCGTCAACAAGTACCTGGGCCCCTATGTCATGATGATCGGCAAGATGGTGAGAGGGCGGGGTGTGTCACTGACAGTGTCCCGATTCTCTGTACTTGCACACATGGATTTAACAATGGTGGAAAGTCCCTACAGTTAATGCTTACACCAATCCAATCTACACACAATACCCCATAATTCTGCTAATTTATACAAAAAATAAAAACCTGAAATATGAGTATTCAGACCCTTTAATCATTACTTTGTTGAAGCACCTTTGACAGCAATTACAGCCTTGAGTCTTCTTGGGTATAACGCTACAAGCTTGGCACACCTGTTTTTGGGGAGTTTCTCCCATTCTTCTCTGCAGATCCTCTCAAGCTCTGTCAGGTTGGATGGGGAGCGTTGCTGCAAAGCATTTTTCAGGTCTCTCTAGAGATGTTCGATCAGGTTCAAGTCCAGGCCACTCAAGGACATTCAGAGACTTGTCCCGAAGCCACTCCTGCATTGTCTTGGCTGTATGCTTAGTGTCGTTGTCCTGTTGGAAGGTGAACCTTTGCCCCAATCGGAGGTCCTGAGCACTCTGGAGCAGGTTTTCATCAAGGATCTCTCTGTACTTTGCTCCGATCATCTTTCCCTCGATCCTGACTAGTCTCCCAGTCCTTGCTGCTGAAAAACATCCCTACAGCATGATGCTGCCACCCCCATGCTTCACCGTAGTAGATTTTTTTAGTGATCCAATTGACATTTTAGTCATTTAGCAGACGCTCTTATCCAGAGCGACTTACAATTAGTGAGTGCATTCATTTTTCATACTGGCCCCCCGTGGGAATCAAACCCACAACCCTTGCATTGCAAGCGCCATGCTCTACCAACTGAGCTACAGGAGGGCCAATGATGATGCCAGGTTTCCTCCAGACGTGACGGTTGGCATTCAGGCCAAATACTTCAATCTTGGTTTCATCAGACCAGAGAATCTTGTTTCTCATGGTCTGAGAGGCTTTAGGTGCCTTTTGGCAAACTCCAAGCGGGCTGTCATGTGCCTTTTACTGAGGATGGCTTCCATCTGGCCACTCTACCATAAAGGCCTGATTGGTGGAGTGCTGCAGAGATGGTTGTCCTTCTGGAAGGTTCTCCCATCTCCACAGAGGAACTCTAGAGCTCTGTCAGAGAGACCATCGGGTTCTTGGTCACCTCCCTGACCAAGGCCCATCTCCCTCGATTGCTCAGTTTGGCCGGGCTGCTTGCTCTAGGAAGAGTCTTGGTGGTTCCAAACTTCTTCCATTTAAGATTGATGGAGACCACTGTGTTCTTGGGGACTTTCAATGCTGCAGAAATGTTTTGGTACCCTTCCCCAGATTTGTGCCTCGACACAATCCTGTCTCTGCACTCTACGGACAATTCCTTCGACTTCATGGCTTGGTTTTTGCTCTGACATGCACTGTCAACTCTGTGACCTAATATAGACAGGTGTATGCCTTTCCAAATCATGTCCAATCAATTGAATTTACCACAGGTTTCCTCCAATCAAGTTGTGGAAACATGTCAAGGATGATCAATGGAAACAGGATGCACCTGAGCTCAATTTCGAGTCTCATAGCAAAGGGTCTGAATACTTATGTAAATAAGGTATTTCTGTTTTTAAGTTTTGAAATATTTGCTACAATTTCTAAAAACCTGTTTTCGCTTTGTCGTTATGGGATATTGTGTGTAGATTGCTGAATTATAATTTTTTAAAATCAATTTTAGAATAAGGCCGTAACGTAACATAATGTGGAAAAGTCAAGGGGTCTGAACACTTTCCGAAGGCACTGTATAATGCAGCTATGAAGATGAATGAGTTATATCAGGTTCCTTTTATAGGGAGTCGAAGTCCTTAGTATGTGTTCGGCACATTGTGTCCTGAAAAACCCCTTAGCCTCAAGCCTGTTCTGTCTTTGCTCATGAATGATCAGAGAGTGTGTGATAACAGTGTCAAGAAGACCAGGAGAGGGGATGGGTCAAAGGGCAGAAATGTCTGTTACCTTCCCATGTCTGAGAGAGCTGTTTGAGATTGCAACATAACACACATATCACTTTGATATAGTAACAGAAAACCAGCACAGAAATGACTAAACGTTGTTTTTCCTAATTAAGGAGCGTGCCTTCAAATGTGTTTGTCAAAGGTGGTGTTGTTTAATGTGATGTGATCAGTTGCAAGCCAATTTGACCCTTTTTAAACCTCTAGTGCTGTTGAATTACCCTCAGTCAGCTAATATTCTCTCTGTCTCCCTCTTCTCACCCTCTTTCTTTCTCCTCCCTCCCTCCCACTCCTTCTTTCTCTCCCTCTCAGATGATTGACATGATGTACTTTGTGATCATCATGCTGGTGGTGTTGATGAGTTTTGGGGTGGCTCGGCAGGCCATCCTGAACCCCAATGAGGACCCGTCCTGGATGTTGGCTCGGAACATATTCTTCATGCCCTACTGGATGATCTACGGAGAGGTGTTCGCCGACCAGATCGATCGTAAGCCCACATATGCGGGGGTGGGTGGGGGGTGGGTCATGGATCGGATGGTGGATTGGTAGAGAGTCGAGCACGGAGTGTAAGGCTGCCCGCCCCAACATACACACACAATCACACCCCCACACACACACTCACCAGTCTAGCTGAAGTCATCCAGGTGCTGAAATGCCACACACTTGGAACCTCTCAGTCAGTCCCCAGTTTCAGGGGGAACTTTATTAGCACAATGGAAGACATTGGTGGCCTTATTGGTTCTTATTCACACTGGTCATGCTAACGCAATCTTGCCATTAAAAATACCCATATTTGATTTTCTGACAACAGCTGAGGACAGATCACTAAAAGCTCACCTTATCTCATTGATAAGGTCAGGTGATGTGTAACAGCAGGTAACATTGCTTAGTAATTTAGTCATTGACTAAAATAAGGTACATGATTGCTCTCTGAATGCACAACCTGTTTTGTGAGAGTGTGTGTGCGTGCATGTGTGAGAGTGTATAGAATGGAAGGACTAGCCCAAAGCGAAGAGATCTGAAATAATGCTGTCGTTCTTTGTTTCAGATGTGCATAGTAGGAAGCTAAAGCACAGGCTGAATTCAAAACTCTGGATGGTCGAAAATCAATTTCGAGCTCATGGAACCTGGCGTAATAATGGTCCATACCAACATTGCTGTGTTCAATCAGAATGCCAGTAAATCGATAATTAGACCCCTCCCCGTCCCTTCCCCTCCCTACACCATTCCAGCCTCACTGCCATGCCATCACTGCACCCTCGTCTAGGGGCTGCTACTTAGTCAGATATGCACATAGAGATGGATAGAGGGTGCACTTGCCACAAAGTCTGCTTTAGCATGTGCAGCACCATTGAAGGTTTTCGCCATTTTAATGTAGTCAACTGGGTGGGACATCTTATGGGTTGAGGTGGGAACCTAGAATTCCATCCAGGTCAGTAAAAGGGATGAGCCAATGAATTATACTCCTGAAAAAACATTCCAGCACTTCAGGTGGCAGTATATCACCTACCTTCACTTGATGCCTTTTCATATTATACACACTCCTGCACAGTAGGTGGAAGTATGCACCTTTTCAGTTTCTTTATGGATCGCCAATAAACTCATAGAATGAGAAGAGATGGAGATAGCCCTCAGTGGCACTGCCAGTTAATGGGCACTGCCCATGCTGTTACAGAAGCGATCAAATGCAAAGATAGGTGTGTCCTCTTTTCCATCTCTATGGATAAGCATGCAGCACGAAACGCTGACAGGTCAATAATTGTGTTTCATGGCAGTAGCACTCTTGTTTGGTTTCATTTGGTTGATTTATTTATTTATTTTGATGACACTACATCTCAAAGGAGACTATCATTGCTCATTTGACATTTTCATTATTTTAAATTTTTTTGGGAAAAGTAAGCTTGCCACGTTTTTCATGCAAGTCATTTTCACAATCCCTCAACGCCAGCTCTGCTATCACTAGAACAACAGGATTGCAACATCTACAAAATGTAATTTAGACACCCACACTCACAATAATGCCCTCTCATCCATACAGGTCAACATGATACGCCAATACTCATACAATAAATACAACCAAACACACACAGACACATCTCATTCAAAAGCACAACTACATATACAGTTCACACCTACTAAATTTCAAAAGCACACCTAAACACATACAGATGTAGGATCTTAATTTGATCACTCTTTTGTTGCTGAGAATTTTCCTGCTCAGCAGGAAATGCAAACTTGTAGTGTATTCAAAGTTTAAAAAGGCTTCTAAAGTTTTTAATTTCCACTTAAAAATGTCAGACTTAACAAAAAATGAATCAACCTCTACCAAAAATTCCCATGAATTATAATCCACATAATAATTAACATTTCCTGTTGCTGCACGATTATTTTCCTGCTGTATCAAACTGGCTCAAATTAAGATCCTACATCTGTATGTACACAAGATTGAATATTATTCTGCATTCACACACACACAGACGTACACACACACATCATACCCTTTCATCTACGGCAATCAGTTTTTTCAAGTGGTTCAGTTGTCAGAGTTGTTAACCCAATTTCTTTGAGTGTAAAATTGTGAGATAGAGAAAATTACTTCAGTTCTCTACCTTTGGGCTGCCTTGTGTGATCAATTGAAATCCAGAGATAAGTATGAATATTATGATTATATAATGATTCATAGGCAAACAAACAAATGAGTATCCAAAGTGAAAGTGCTGAGTGTCCCCATTATAAGTCACAGCAACTGAACCATCACTGATGGAAAAAACATATGATGTATCTTAAATACATTTAAAATAATCTGTAGTATAATCATTATTCAGCTAGGCTATGGCACACATATGTGACAATATATTTTAAACAGCAATGCCATGTTTAAATATATTGGGAATGTAAGTTATTGACATTAATATATTTGTTTCTATATTTTGAGATACACATTTCAGCACATAAGACCTTTCCATTCTAGTGCTCACTCCTTCCTATCCCCTCCAAGAAATATGTTTGTTTGCAAAACTTGAAGTATTTGTTGGCCTGTTTATTTGTTGGTTTGTTTATTTTAAATGTTAAGATAATTATTGTTTGTTCTGTATGATTGCCTGGGTTTGCTTGTATGTTTGTATTGTATGTTGACATTACTTTCATTTGATTTTGTGTTCATCTTTTATGTTGGCTTGCTTGTCTCGTCTTGGTCTGTATGTTTATTTGTTTTGATGCACCATTGGCACAAACGTTTGCCTTTATTTATGATGTTCTGTCATAGAAACTCTCTATAGGCTACCCATTTCTTTTGTCATAGTTTGTCTTGTGACACAATCTATGACACCTTGTGTAACATCCTGAACCTGTGGTTGTGTCATTGTGCTTAGCTCCGTGTGGCCAGAATATCACCGCGGAGGACGGGCGTGTTGTAGCTCTGCCGCCCTGTAAGACGGGAGCCTGGATCGTTCCTGCCATCATGGCCTGCTACCTGCTGGTGGCCAACATCCTGCTAGTCAACCTACTCATAGCTGTCTTCAAGTATGTGCTCTCTTTCTGTAAACATACTACACTCTCCTTACGCCCACTCGGTTATACATACCAGGGCCTTGTCCAGAAACAACCCCTAGCCCCTATCCCCAACCCCCAAGACACTTGTGGAGATCTGAGAGGATTTTATAGGTTTAAGCACATTGGTAATAGCCCCACCTAGCCTCTGATAGGCTAGTGGGAATGTTCACCATATTGCTTACACCTGCCAAATCCTCTCAGCTTGCCAAAATTGGTAGGATCTCTAGGAGTTATTTCTGGACAAAGCCAAAAATGTGCATGGTTTATTTTACTCTCCTGCACAGTTTATTCAGGGCCCATGCACAACATACTCCTATATCACCCGAGTTCATTAGCTACGTAGGTCATTTCCATCTGTGATCCTTGTTCGTTTTATATAGCTAAACAAGTGAGGGGTTAGGGCTTTGTGTTTGTGATTAGTTATAAACAGTGTATAACCTGTGCTGTCTTTTGAGGTCAAATAATATATAATATGACAGCTGTGTGTAACATTACAACTGCAGTTGCTTAAGTGCTGTTCAATTGCAGCCACTCGAGGCCCATTTCAGAGCATACTGTAGCATACACACATAGTAAGATGTTTAATCTCCTATTGAGAGTCATTATAGTGATAAATTACTGTTATTGTGCCTTATTGCCATCTGTGTGAAATACTGTAGTAAGAACGATCCCCTCCGCATTTCTTGACTAATTACCAAGAAATGCAAATGAAAGAAAAGTTCCAATGCAAATAGCGGTGGAGTGTAAGGAACATACTGTTTATACATCTCTGTTTTACTGGCATTTTTGTTCAAATGTAAATGTAGGAATATTTGTGTGATCTTGGTAGTAGTAGTAGCAGGCAAAGTAGTAGTAGTGGCTGTAGTGGTACAAGTTATGGTGACTGTAGTAGTATGTAACTTTATTTAACCAGGTAAGCCAGTTGAGAACAAGTTCTCATTTACAACTGCGAGCTGGCCAAGATTAAGCAAAGCAGTGCGATTAAAAACAACAACACAGAGTTACATATGGGGTAAAACAAAACATAAAGTCAAAAATTCAACAGAAAATATATATACAGTGTGTTCAAATGTAGCAAGTTATGGAGGTAAGGCAATAAATAGGCCATAGTGCAAAATAATTACAATGAGTATTAAAACTGGAATGATAGATGTGCAAGAGATGATGTGCAAATAGAGATACTGGGGTGCAAATGAGCAAAATAAATAACAATATGGGGATGAGGTAGTTGGGTGGGCTAATTTCAGATGGGCTGTGTACAGGTGCAGAAATCGGTAAGGTGCTCTGACAACTGATGCTTTAAGTTAGTGAGGGAGATAAGAGTCTCCAGCTTCAGAGATTTTTGCAATTCGTTCCAGTCATTGGCAGCTGAGAACTGGAAGGAATGGCAGCCAAAGGAGGTGTTGGCTTTGGGGATGACCAGTGAGATATACCTGCTGGAACGCATACTACGGGTGGGTGTTGCTATGGTGACCAATGAGCTAAGATAAAGCAGTGATTTATAGATGGCCTGGAGCCAGTGGGTTTGGCGACGAATATGTAGTGAGGACCAGCCAACAAGAGCGTACAGGTCACAGTGGTGGGTAGTATATGGGGCTTTGGTGACAAAACGGATGGCACTGTGATAGACTACATCCAATTTGCTGAGTAGAGTGTTGGAGGCTATTTTGTAAATGACATCGCCGAAGTCAAGGATCGGTAGGATAGTCAGTTTTACGAGGATGGAAGGATTAATTATAATAATAATCATTAGTAATTTAGCAGATGCTTTTATCCAGAGCGACTTACAGGAGCAATTAGGGTTAAGTGCCTTGCTCAAAGGCACATCCGACAGATTTTTCACCTAGTCGGCTCGGGGATTAGAACCAGCGACCTTTCGGTTACTGGCACAACGCTCTTAACCACTAAGCTACCTGCCGCCCTTATAATTAAAGTTATATGGGTTAAATGAAATGGAGGGTGGTTGGAAGGGTGGTTGGAAGAGGGGGTGAGTGTTTCAAAACATGGCCTATATTCCATCTTCATAGAAATGCATGTATAAAACATGTTGCAACAATTTTTGGTAAATAAACCAAGCTATTGCATTTTGGGTTGATTTTACATTTTGGTTGTTACTTTCTGTTGTCATAGCAACACCTTCTTTGAGGTGAAGTCCATCTCTAACCAGGTGTGGAAGTTCCAGAGATACCAGCTCATCATGACCTTCTACGAGCGGCCCATCCTACCCCCTCCCCTCATCATCTTCAGTCACATGACCATGGTCCTCAAGCACCTGTGCTGTCGCTGGCGGAAGCACGACGATGACGAGAGAGACTATGGCCTCAGTGAGTACATGGGCTAGGCCCGATACAAATCCTTTAGAAATTTTACATTTACATTTTAGTCATTTAGCAGACACTCTTATCCAGAGCGACTTACAGTTAGTGCATTCATCTTAAGATAGCTAGGTGGGGCAAACACATATTTCAGTCATGGGAGAGGGGGGGGGGGGGGGGGGGGGGGGGGGGGGGGGGAGTAAAGTGCAAGCGTTAGTTCGCAAAAGGCACGTTTTATTTAGCAGTGGGATTATTTAAGATACTCTTTGAAAAGGTAGGGTTTCAGATGTTTTTGGAAGATGGGCAGGGACTCTGCTGTCCTAGCTTTAGGGGAAGCTGCTTCCACTATTGGGGTGCCAGGACAGAGAAGAGCTTTGACTGGGCTGAGCGGGAGCGGTGGGAGTGGGAGGGCCAAGAGACCAGAGATGGCTCGGGTTGGGGTGTAGGGTTTGAGCATAGCCTGGAGGTAGGGAGGGACAGTTCCTCTTGCTGCTCCGTAGGCAAGTACCATGGTCTTGTAGTGGATGCTTCGACTGGAAGCCAGGGGAGTGTGCGTAGGAGCGGTGTGACATGGGAGAGCTTGGAAAGGTTGATCAGCAGGCGGGCTGCATGTTCTGGATAAGTGGCAGGGCTTTGATGGCACAAGTGGGGAGCCCAATCAACAGCGTGTTGCAGCAGTCCAGGTGGGAGAGTGCGTTGTGCAGACACAGATCATCTACACGTCATCTGGTAGGAGCGGCCTGCCAGGTAGGATGCAATTCAAGAGTCTGCAGAGCCTGAGACGCCCAGCCCTGAGAGGGTGGACAGGAGGATCTGATGGTTCACGGTGTCAGGATGAGAACAGAGAAGAGACAGTCAGCTTTGGCAGTGCGGAGAGCCTCCTTGACACAGAGAGAGCAGTTTCGGTTGAGTGACCCGTCTTGAAGCCTGACTAGTTAGGGTCAAGAAGATCGTTCTGAGAGAGATAAATAGAGAGTTGGTCAGAGACAGCACACTCAAGTGTTTTGGAAAGAAAATAAGTGTTTGACGTCAGTGGGGTCGAGTGTTGGTTTCTTGAGGAGGGGATCGACTCTAGCCATTTTGAAGTCAAAGGGGATGCAGCCAGTAGTCAGTGATGAGTTGATGAAGGAAGTGAGGAATGGGAGAAGGTCTCCAGATATAGTCTGGAGAAGGGAGGAGGGGATGGGGTCAAGTGGGCAGGCAGGTTGTCGGGCGGCCGGGCCTCACTAGTTGCAGGATTTCATCTGGAGAGAGAGGGGAGAAAGAGGTCAAGGCGTAGGGTAGTTCTGAGTGGGACCAGTGGACTCAATAGGCTGAGTGAATGAGGAGAGGATGTTGTAAACCTTAATTTCAAAGTGGTTGATAAAGTCATCTGCAGAGAGGGAGGAGGGAGGGGGTGGAGGATTAAGCAGGGAGGAGAAGGTGGAGTTTCCTAGGGTTAGAGGCAGAAGCTTGAAATGTTAAGTGATAGAAAGTGGCTTTAGCAGTTGATACAGAGGAAGAGAAAGTAGAAAGGAGGGAGTGAAAGGATGATAGGTCTTCCAGAAGTTTAGTTTTCCTCAATTTTCGCTCAGCTGCACGCAGCCCTATTCTGTAAACTTGCAATGAGTCACTCAGCCACGGAGCAGGAGGGGAGGGCCGAGCTGACCGGGAGAAAAGTGGACAGTGCGAGTCATAGAATGCAGAAAGGGAGGGGAGTAGGGTTGAAGAGGCAGGATCAGGAGACAGGAAGGAGAAGGATTTAGCAGAAAGGAGAGATTATTGGATAGAAGAGGAGAGAGTAATGGGAGAGAGAGAGAGCGAAGAATAGCGACGGTGCATGACCATCTGGGTAGGGGCTGAGTGGGTAGGGTTGGAGGAGACGGAGACAGAAAAGGTAACAATTTAGTGATCAGAGAGGCGAACAGCCTTTAGTATAGATGAGGTCATGCGTATTTCCTGCTTTGTGAGTGGGAGGGGACTGGGAAAGGGTGAGGTGAAAAGAGGCAAGGAGGGGAAAGGTGGAAATAAATTAATTGAAGGCAGACGTCGGGAGGTTGAAGTCGCCCAGTACGATGAGCCATCATCAGGAAATGAGCTTATCTAGGTGTCAAGCGCATTGAGGAACTTTAGGGGCACCTGGTGGGCAATACACTAAAACCTTTCCCTGTAAATGTACAGCATTATACTGGCACCAGAGTTGCCAGCTTAACACTGTCATTTTGCTTTACAGCAGAGATTATATATTTTACAGTAAGGAAAATAGTACTGTAAAATATATTACAGCATCTTTGCTGTAAAGCAAAATTACAGTATTAAGCTGGCAGCTCTGGTGCCAGTATAATGCTGTAAATTAACAGTGAAATTCTCCCTGAAATCTAAATGTAAGAAAAACTATAAAATGGTCTGATGGTGAAGTGGACATACTCGGTATTCATATCCTGAAAGAAATAAATGATCTCACTACAATACTTTTTAATAGAAAGTTAGCAAAAATAGATAAGATCTCGCTACCATGGAAAGGAAAATACCTGTCTATTTGTGGGAAAATCTATGTGATTAACTCTTTAGTCATATCCCAGTTTACCTATTTGCTTATGGCCCTGACTACACCTAACGACTTGTTTTTTTAAATTATATGAGCAAAAACAAATCAATTTTATTTGGAATGGCAAGCCAGACTAAAATCTAATCAAATCAAATGTATTGGTCACATACACATGGTTAGCAGATGTTATTGCGAGTGTAGCGAAATACTTGTGCTACTAGTTCCGACAGTGCAGCAATATCTAGAAAGTAATATCTAACAGTTCCACAACAAAAACCTAATACACACAAATCTAAGTAAAGGAATGGAATAAGAATATATAAATATATGGATGAGCAATGACATTATCAGAGTGGCATAGGCTAAGATGCAAAATATAGTATAGAATACAGTATATACATATGAGATGGGTAATGCAAGATATGTAAACATTATTAAGATAGAATACAGTATATACATATGAGATGGGTAATGCAAGATATGTAAACGTTATTAAAGTGGCATTATTAAAGTGACTAGTGTTCAATTTTTTTAAGTGGCCAGTGATTTTCAAGTCTGTATGTAGGCAGCAGCCTCTCTGTGCTAGTGATGGCTGTTTAACAGTCTGATGGCTTTGAGATACTGTAGGTATTCCTCTTGTCCAGATGGGATAGGGCAGTGTGCAGTGTGATGGCGAATGGCATCGTCTGTGGACCTATTGGGGCGGTAAGCAAATTGAAGTGGGTCTAGGGTGACAGGTAAGGTGGAGGTGATATGATCCTTTACTAGTCTCTCAAAGCACTTCCTGATGACAGAAGTGAGTGCTACAGGGCGATAGTCATTTAGTTCAGTTACCTTTGCATTCTTGGGTACAGGAACAATGGTGGCCATCTTGAAGCATGTGGGGACAGCAGACTGGGATAGGGAGAGATTGAATATGTCCGTAAACACACCAGCCAGCTGGTCTGCGCATGCTCTGAGGACGTGACTAGGAATGCCATCTGGGCCGGCAGCCTTGCGAGGGTTAACACGTTTAAATGTCTTACTCACGTTGGCCACGGAGAAGGAGAGCCCACAATCCTTGGTAGCTGGCCACGTCGGTGGCACTATGTTATCCTCAAAGTGGGAAAATAACGTTTTTAGCTTGTCTGGCAGCAAGACGTCGGTGTCCGCGACGTGGCTGGTTTTCCTATTGTAGTCCGTGATTATCTGTAAACCCTGCCACATACGTCTTGTGTCTGAGCTGTTGAATTGCGACTCCACTTTGCCTCGATATTGACGTTTTGCCTGTTTGATTGCCTTGCGGAGGGAACGACTACTCTGTTTGTATTCTGCCATATTCCCCGTCACCTTGCCATGGTTAAATGCGGTGGTTTGTGCTTTCAGTTTTTCGGGAATGCTGCCATCTATCCAAAGTTTCTGGTTAGGGTAGGTTTTAATAGTCACAGTTTGTACGACATCTCCTATACACTTCCTTATAAACCCACTCACCGAACAGCTTATATGTCTATATTTTACTCAGAGGCTACCCGGAAGATATCCCAGTCCGCGTGATTAAATCAATCTTGAAGCGTGGATACCAGCGTTGAATAATCCTAAGCACGGCTGCTTCCTGTTTGAGTTTCTGCCTATAGGAAGGGAGGAGCAAAATGGAGTCGTGGTCAGATTTGCCGAAAGGTGGGCGGGGGAGGGCCTTGTATGCAGTGTTTTTCCAGCGCGAGTGCTGCAGTCAATAATCTGATAGAAATTAGGTAGCCCTTTACTAAAATTTGCTTTGTTAAAATCTTCAGCTACAATAAGTGCAGCCTCAGGATATATGGTTTCCAGTTTGCATAAAGTTCAGTGAAGTTCCTTGGGGGCCGTCATGGTATCGGCTTGAGGGGGGATATATACAATAACCGAAGAGAATTCTCTTGGGAGATAATATGGTCGGCATTTGATTGTGAGGAATTCTAGGTCAGGTGAACAAAATTACTTGAGTTCCTGTATGTTGTTACAATTACACCATGAGTTTTTAGTCATGAAACATACCCCCCCACCCTTCTTCTTCCCGGAGAGATGTTTATTCGTGTCGGCACAATGTACTGAGAACCAGATGTCTGTATGAACGGGGACAGTATATCCCGAGAGAGCCATGTTTCCGTGAAACAGAGTATGTTACAATCCCTGATGTCTCTCTGGAAAGCAACCCTTGCCCTGATCTCGTCAACTTTGTTGTCTAGGGACTGGACATTAGCGAGTAATATACTCGGGATTGATGGGTGGTGTGCGCACCTCCTAGTCTGACTAGAAGACCGCTCCGGCTCCCTCTCCTCCAGCAGCGTTGTTTTGGGTCGGCCTCTGGAATCAGTTCAAATGCCCTGGGTGGTGCGGACAAAGGATCCGCTTCGGGAAAGTCGTATTCCTGGTCGTAGTGCTGGTAAGTTGACACCGCTCTGATATCCAAATAGT